TCATCTCATTTCCTTTCCTTGCTATCCAAACAAATTCTCAACAAATCCTATAGCTTTATTTCACAATGTAGCTCAGAACTCCTCTTCTTCATCTTCATGGCTACCATCCTAGTTCTAAGCATCCTCTTTTCTCAGCTAAAATATACCTGGGGGGAAATTTTCCAATTACAACCTTACCTTTGGGTTTTGGGAGACAAATCATGGAAGCTGACTCCGGAGGGGGCAGGCAGGAGAAGTCTGAAGTGCCCCTGTGCTAACTCAACTAGCTTGTCCATAGAGAAGTAATGAGGCCCATGTGTCCTCTTTTATCCTGACCCTTCTCTCTAAAATGGCTCGTAGACTTCTAAGTTATCCCCTTATTTCTACTCTGGCCCTCCTACAGTTAATTCTTCACTCAGCAGAAGTACTTGTTATCTTTCAAATAAAATATATCAGTCTCTTGGTCAAAGTCTTCCAATGAATTCCTTGCAGTGACTCCCAGCGCTCTATGTCATCTGGCCCCATCCACTTTATTGAGCTCCCTGCTTTACCCTCTGTCTTCTGGCTCATTTGCCTTGTTGTTTGACTGCACCAGACCCCTCTATATATCAAGGCCTTTTTTTAACTGAGAGGAAATGATCTCTTTTCAGGTATTTGCATTGTTTTCCTCATTCAGATCTCTGCTTGATGTGTTCCTCCCCAGAAGAGTTTTCCCTAGCCACCATGCTGTATGTATGTCTTATTTTAAACCTTATTATCAGTTTGGGCAGTGTTAGAAATGTTGCTCATTGTCTGTCTTACTTACTAGGAATCTGTCTATCTATCTTTGCTGTATTATCATCATTTCAAACACTATAGACTCTTAATACATGTGTAAGAAACAATTTGAGTGAGTCTGTTTTACAGATTAAGAAACTGAGAGTCCAGAGAGAGGAGAAATGGTCTTTTTTTCTAATTGTTGTTATTGTTATGTACCGTTGAATTGGAACTGACCCATCACTGACCTTAAAGGCCCATGAAATTTCCATCAACTCACCCTCCTCCTCTTTACTAATCAAGAGGCAGGATCTTTCCTAATACCAAGTCTCTTTTAAGAAAAGAGCAGCATTTTAACATCATAGTACAGTCAAGTTCAGTGAACCTTAAGTACATTCATTACCAGGGCTGAGGGGAATGCAAAGATGACCTGCCTCAAATCTGTTAGTTTTTAGAAGAGGAAACCAAGGCCCAGATAGCATGTACCACAAAAGGTTTGAGAAGACTCATAGCTAGAAGCCAGGTTTTCTGGCTCCATCTACACACCTTTTACTTCCTTTTCTGTGTTACTTAATCTATGTCTGCTCAACTATTATTTTTTTATTAAAGCAAAGTTCTGCTTTTTTTTACTGGTAGGTTGTCATACCAAACTATACATTCCACAGACCCAGAAAGGTCTAGAGATCATTTAGAGGAATTTGTAGGCTGGATTGTTCATCCAGGTATCTGTGACACCTGAGCCTAGGGTGAATCCCTGCTCTGCTCTGACTTTTCACTTCCTGCTCATGTGCCCTTGTGTCCCGGTGCAAGGCTTCTGTGCTCTGAAGCTTCCTTCCCTGTAAGGTGCATTCCCTTCTTGGGCTGAAGTCATGGATGAGAAAGAGCTTTGTAAACCTTGTTATTGTAAGGTGCCATTGAGTTGAGTACAACTCAGAGTGACCCTATGAACAACAGACCTGAGCCAGGTCCTATCTTGTGCCACCTTCATCATCCTGGCCACACTTGAGTCTATTGCTGCAGTCACTGTGTCAATTACTCTCATTAGAGATCTTCTTCTCATTTGCTGATCTTTCCAAGTATATTCTCCCTTTCCAAGGAATAGCCTCTCCTAGCAACATGTCCAAAATATGAGAGATGGAGCTTCGTCATCTTTGCATCCAAGGAACATTCTGGAATGTTTGTATCCAAGACATATATCTGTTTGTTCTTTTGACATTTCGTGGAATGTTCAGTATTCTTAAAAGGTATAAAAATATAGGCCCTAAAGACAATGATTCCTGTTGACTTTCATTTGGGAAATAAGGTCTCCAATAGCAACACAAATATTCTCCCCTGTCTTCATTTGGGACTTGAGGGACTGAGTTTGGTCATCTGCATCTATCTCAGGTTGAGAAAAGTTGAAGTGTTTTTTGTTTGTTTGTTTGTTTTGTTGTTGAAGTGTTTTTATGCTAAGCCAGCCAGCTTAGGTATGGGAGCTTAAGAAAGAGTATCAGCCAGTTATCATCAAGTCAATTCTGACTGGAGATAACATCATGTAGAGCTGTGCTTAGGGTTTTCAAAGACTGATTTTCTTTAAAACATAACAGATTGTCAGGCCATTCTTACAAGGCACCACTCATGGTTTTGAACCACCAACATTTAGGTTTTACCAGCTGAGCATATAACTGTTTGCACTATCCAGGAACTCCAAAAGAAGAATCTATGCTTCTATTTTCACTTAAGGGATTCTTAACAAGATCATTGCAAGCCAAGGATTGTAAAACCAAACCAAACCCAGAAATCGTGCCCTTCACTGTGACAAGAAGCTGCACTGCAATCCTGAAGGCACGTGGTTCAAGGCCACCATCTGTTCTGAGGGAGAAGGAGCAATCTCCTCCCGTGTGATTAACTGCCTCTAAAAACCTGCTGGAGGGTCAGCTATGGGTCAGTTTCAACGATACTGGATACAACAACAACAGCCTCAACACTTGAGAAAATATATGAGGGAAACATCCAAGGCTGGTACTATAGATTCACAGATAATATTAGTGAGAAATGGCTGAGATGGAGGGAGATATAGTAAAAGAAGGATGGAGAGGAGAGAAAGTGAGCTTCCCAGGGCCCAAGACCAAGATAGACATTCACTAAACAGGGTGTAAAGAAAGAGAGAGAAACAGAGAAAGCAGAGAAAGAGTCAGAGTGAACCAGACTGAAGTCACAAAATGATGGCATGAGAGGGAAAGGAAAACAAAGGTGAATGAGAAAAAAAAAATCTAAAGAAGAGTGAAGACTGAAAAATTCAGAGAAAGGTTAAGGTAAAGAAGAAAAAGGAGAGGGAGGAATGTTTAGAGGAGATGGTAAGAATGTGGAAGTAGCAGAACAGGAATCTGGCGAAGGAGGAAGACGAGGTCTCAGGACCTGGAACAAGATGGTGGAGCTGTGTTTATTCTTTCTCTGGTTCCTGTGTTAGAAAAAAAAACCTCTTCCCCATGACTTAATGGTGCTGCTGCTGGCCAAGTCCAGAGTAGAGAAAATGTGGAATCATCTGAGAGTACCACAGGGCAGCTGGGTTTCTGTAAAAAGACTTTTTTCCAGTCAGGGACTAAGAAGGTTCTTAGATGTACAGAGAAAACCAGTGTGGTTTCTTCAGATTCATTGCTGTTGCAGAATATCCTGATAAATGTGATTTTTTTTTTTAAATGTCACATTTACCTGGACTTGCCAAGACCTGAGAACTTTGATTCTCCTTATAGTACATTCTCTTTCATATTTCTCTACCACTTCTCTAGCAGGAACTCAGAAAACGGGGTACAAATCCAAAAGGTCTCTGTTATGCAAGCCATTCAGGACATTTATTCATTTTCTCCACCTCCCAACAGGTGGTTTTAGTGTAAGTGGTTTCAGACTATGTGGTCAGAATATTCCCACATGCAATGACTGATGCCAGAATTTGTCAAGTTCTCTGCTCAACTTGGTTTCTCTGGATGCAGCTAAATCTTTTCAATATAAAAACATTTTTTGGAAACATAAAATGCCAGCCTTGACGGTTCCCTAGATTTGATCTGGTCCATGTCAGGGGATCAACTAGCTCTTTGAATAAGGATTTATTTTGTGGAAAGGTACTGGGAGTCTGAGATAAGCAGCAAAAACTTGACCAGCATACAACCTGAATTCTGGAACTGCATTTTGCAACTTTCTCTTTGTGTGTGTATGTGTGTGTAAAGAAGTAGACAGGGACTGGATCTGCTTAGACAAAATCACATGGCCATATGGTTTTTGTGTTGGTTTGTTTTTGTTTTTGTTTTTTTTTAACTTCTCAGACTTTTTCAGATTTAGACTGAGGGAGAGTCTCTGACCTAAACTTATACCTTCTGGTCAGGAATCTGCTGGAAGACTCAAGTTCAGTGGGAAGGGCCCTGGTTTGGGATGTGGAGGTCTGATCCATGTTCCAACTGTGATGTATCAGAGCCAGTGAAATCCCCTACTTGGATATACTAGACCTCAGTCACCACCCCAGTTGTGTGATACATTAGCTAATTTCTGAGGTTGTTTTCCAGTTTCAAGTTTTTAGCCACGGTAAGAGATTCAGCATTTGTCTCTCCTTGTCTCCACCGGGAACAGTCAGGTCGACCAGAGAGGCCTCTTAGCTGCTGCAATGAGGAGTAAAGGGGGAGAAGTGAGTCAAAAGAAGTACTTTCTCTGTTTTAGAGGGGAAAACTGAGATTCTTTCAGTGCTTCATTCCATCTTCTTTATCGGATAACAAGGATTTTAGGAAGAAGAGGAGATGGTTCAGTTCCCTCTAAGACTCACAGCGAAGTCTTCAACTGATTCTTAGAGCAATGATTCTGAAGTTCCACTTACCACATGTGTACCCTTTTGTATTTGTTTGTACTCCCTAAAATGTTTGAATAAAGTGGTCCATGGAGCTATCAGAGTACGTGTGTGTATATACAGCTATGCTTAATATTCATCCCTGTAAAACTGATCGTTTGAGCCCCTGCAATTGTGAATGTGCACATGTGTGTGTGTGTGTGTGAGTGTCATTATGTGCATAGCATTGGATTAATAGAAAGGATTCTTCGGAGAGCATGGATTGTGTGAAGCCGTGTGTGCCTGTGGGATCTATTTTTTATTTTTTTTTTTTTTAAGTAAGCAACTTTGGGTCGTGTCACTTCCCCTCACTTCGCTGATTGATTTCTCGAGGCTAATGGTGCGTAAAAGCAATGGTGAGATCTGGGGGCGCCTCCTAGCCTGACGTCAGAGGGAGAGTTTAAAAGGGGGGAGCCGGTGGCGAGCACACAAGCCGCCTTCAGAGACGCGAGGTGCGGAGCCGTCGCTGCTGCCTGCGGATCCTGAGTTGGAGGAACCACCTCTCTCTCTGCGTCCCCGGAGCCACTAAGATGCTGTCCTGCCGCCTTCAGTGCGCGCTGGCCGCCCTCTCCATCGTCCTGGCCCTGGGCGGTGTCACCGCAGCGCCCTCGGACCCCAGACTCCGTCAATTTCTGCAGAAGTCTCTGGCTGCTGCCGCGGGGAAGCAGGTAAGGAGATTTCGCTCCTGGATCCCCAAATCCTCCCTTAGTCTTGTCCCAGCTCTCTTGATCTTGAAAAGTGCCCTGTTTTCTTGAGGGGATTCGGTGCTTTACTGAGTCCTTCAGTTCCCAAAGCTCACGGGGGAAACTTTCAGAGCCCCAAATTCTCTCTTAGCCACCCCATCTCGGTTTTATCTGACCAGTGTGGCCAGTCGCAATCCAGGTAAGTTCTCGGACATTTAAAACAATTTCGAGACTCTTGAACCGTCTGATCTTGAAGGCATGCTGGGATCCATGCAGGGTACTGAACAGGGGTGCTGACCCAGGTGCTGAAAGCAGGCACTTCTAAGCTGCCGCCTTCCAGAGCAGCATGTCCCTCCCATGCAGCGGGGCTCAGGGGCGCTACAGAGGGAACCGGACAGGTTTGCGACTCTAAGAGGTTTTGAGCCCCGCAATTGAGTAGTAAAAATGCTAAGAACAGCTCTATTGTGTAATATATGACCTAAAAATTGAGTTAAAGTACACTATTGAAGTTATTTATCGTGGCAAAACTGATTTAACAATAGTGATTCATTCTCGCTCGCTCTCTCTCTCTCTCTCTCTCTCTCTCTCCCTCTCTCTCGCTCTCTGTGTGTGTGTGTGTGTGCGCACGCGTGTGCACTCGTCTACAAACGCATTACAGGAACACTTGAGGTTTTAAAACCTTTTTTTAAATATAAATTTCCAATTATAGAAGCAATCTCTATTTTTAATATCTTTCACTGATCTTAAGGGTATGTACTGGACTTGAGGTTGGCTAAATCTTTCCCAAGCTAGCTTTTGCATTTCATCCTCATCATTATGGTATCAGTATCATAATCATCCACATCACCTTCCACCCTTTCTCTCTGCCCTCTACAGGAGCTGGCCAAGTATTTCTTGGCAGAACTGCTGTCTGAACCCAACCAGACAGAGAATGATGCCCTGGAACCTGAAGATTTGTCCCAGGCTGCTGAGCAGGATGAGATGAGGCTGGAGCTGCAGAGATCTGCTAACTCCAACCCTGCCATGGCCCCCCGAGAACGTAAAGCTGGCTGCAAGAATTTCTTCTGGAAGACTTTCACATCCTGCTAATTTGATTGATTGTACCTGTCAGACCTCTGATCTCTCTCCTCCAGACCCTCTTTCTCTTCCCTAGTCCCTCAAGTCTTCAGCAAGATCCTGGCATTAGAAATTGAAAAATGTAAATATAAAATAAAATTGTGGTGAAAAGTTGAAAATCAAGTGGTGGTTGATTTCTTATTGAGTAAATCTTGCTGTTCAACTACAGATGATTAACTCACGTTGTTACTTCAGAGGAGTTATTTGAGAGACACACTTCAGTCTCATCCATACACTATTTATAATCTCCAGTTTCAATAAGAATGGCATTTAAGTGATAACTTACAGTTTGCATCATTTCAAACTTAAATAATTTCAAGTAACTCTATGCATTTTAACTTTAATCCAATGATAATTATTGGAAAAGAGTACCATAAACACCATTTGCAAAAAAAATATATATATTAAAAGAACAAATGAACAAACACCGATTTCACATTAAACACACTTAACATTGTATATTAAATTGATTAAATGTATATAGTTTATGGAGAAGTAGTTTGAAATATACACCTCTTCACCAGCCTGGTATATAAAATGCATGATATGTGAAAAATGGAAGGTAAAAAAGATTTAGAAGTGAAGAGACAGAAATTGCCTTGAACAACTGAAACAAAATGCTTAAAATGTTGTTGTGTACATGAATAATTTATCTTCACAATAAGAAGGCTAAATGGATTTGGTTTAAAAGTAAACTAAAAATTTTAAAAATCAGATTCATCATGAGTGCATCACGGGTTGCAAAAACATGTATCATCACCTAGTAAATACGACACTATCAAAAGTACTGAAGCTCAATCTTACAGAATTACTCTGAGAGACTTCTCAAAACCTTCTTAGGATTTTATTCAAATAGGAGTCAAATAAAGATGCAAACAACAATAAAAACACAAAATAAATGTGTTTCTATTAATATTACGACACATGATTAAAGGATACAGTCTAATACTGAGATAAAAATGCTGACAACCTGATGGCACATAACAACAACACCTTAACTCATAGAGTCCTAAAATAGATGTCTTTGGGGACTGTGTGTTTTCACTATCAACAGTACTTCTGCATACCTACTGAAATAATAAATCAACTATAATTACATAGACTTAACATGAATCCTCAGTGGGACTGATGACTAGTGGCATACAAACATCTAAGAAAAACCTCATACTTTACAGAAAATATTTATGTTCAATAATGCACATTTTTAATATGAACACAGCTTCATGGCAGTTAATTTTTGAACAGCTGAGCAAACAAAAGAAAATTCAATCCACTTTACTAATCTCCGTGAAAACATTACATCCTTTGAGGTTCTTGTGCATCTTTTATTTACAATACTTTTAGAGGGAATTAATGCACGTCCACTTAGGGGACCGGTCTGTGCTAAATGCTTTATGTACATTTGGTTGCCAACCAACTCAGTGGAGTAACAGAATCACATTAGTATGATTAAAGCTTAGACGAGAGCACAACTTAATTGGTTTTTTTTTGAGTGGTGCATAAAGTGTATGAGTGCCAGAGGACTTAAAGGTTTTTGTATCATCTTTGGTTGTCAGTTCCCAGTAGTAGCTTCAAAGTAATTGGCCAACATCATGTGCCAACATCATATATTTATTCTTTATTTAAAGCTTAAATTAAGTGGGATGTTTTATCAGGGTTAATTGTCTTTCATGCTTAGTTTTCCATCTTCAATAGCCAGAGGATTGTACTACAAAAGGCTTCCAGATATGATTGGCATTTTGTGCTTTAAGATTTCTAGGGATGCTAGAGAAAGTCTAAATTTTGTCCACTTAAAAAAGACAGAGAGTACATTCTTTGCCTTTTCATTATAAAAATGGCCCCATTTTTACCTTATATTTAGTTAATTTGAATTCCTCCTAAGTTTGATTCACCAAAAGAGTCTAGCATACAAGCTCATTTATGATCAAGTCAAAATGAAGTCAAACTTTCAAGTTAAATTTCCTTTTCCCCCCACAACCACAATCACAAGCTTTACAATTGTAAAATAATTTTCTATTAATTTCACTGGAAGAGTTTGGGTAAGGTACTTATCTTTCCTGATTCTCAGTTTTCTCAAGTGTAAATGGACATATTCAACTGAACCAACTACTTTAAAGTAGTTGTTCAAAGGATTTTCTGAGATCGTGTGTTCATATTTCTTCCTACAATATGAAAGTTGGTAAAACATATAAGTGATGTTCATTTTGTTCTTCCATGTGCTGTGATTTGTAGCCCATCTAGCACTTTCTAGTGATTTCTAGTGAGAAAATTTCCTTTGCTTTTGCTCTTTTTTGTCATTTTCATGGATTAGAATTTTACCTGGCATTCATGTTTCTTGTACCATTAAATTCTTTTTACTTTCAATTGATTAAGTATTCAGATAAAAGAAGCACTTCAATTGAGAGTACAAAGAATTTTTACAAGTATAAAAATCCATAAAGTAACATGCTTTATTGATTTTCATAGTTGAATGGATCTGTGTAGGAGAGTGAGTACATACAATTTCAAATGAGCACATAAATGTCTGATTCTTCATGTGGCCTTCAAGATCTCACACAGAGTCTTGTATACACAGATAAGCAACATCATGATAGATGGAGGAAAAAAAATAAAATTATCAACTATTTGATCTTACTGGGATCCGCAATCAAAATATTTAGTATCAGTAGTCAGGAAATCAGAAGATTAATTGCACTGGGCAAGTCTGCTCTTAGGGATCGCTTCAAATTACTGAGGAACAATAACGCCAATTTGAAGACTAAGACGTGCCTAATTCAGGTCATCACTTGCAGAGCTGGACAATAGGTGTGGATGACAGAAGAAGAATTGATATCTTTGAGTTGTGATGTTGGAGAAGAATGATGAATTTCCTACTTACTGTCAAAAGAACAAACAGGTTGTCTTGGAAAAATTTGCAGCCAGAATGCTCTTTGGAGGCAAAGATGACACTGCTTCATCTCACATATTTTGGGCATGTTGCTAGGAGAGGATATTCTTTGGAAAGGAACATCATGCATGGAAAGGTAGAGAGTCAGGGGAAGAGAGGAAGACTCTCAACAAGATGGATTGACCCAGTGACTGAAGTAATGGGCTCAAGAGCATCAGAGATGATGAGGATGGGAGAAGCCTCAGGTCTGTTGTTTATAGCGTTGTGTGTAAGCTGATAGGCCACCTGGATTTAGTCAACAATCAGCTGTGGGCTGTCAGCCCCTTAGTTAAGTTAATGAGGATCTGGTGGGCGGGCCTTTGTATTTAAAAATCAGTTTGGCCCTGACTCAGTCTCCAGTATGGAGGCTCATGTGTGAAGCAATTGGATTCTGGAGGGTAGGTTCTCCTGATTTATTTGAAAGTTGGTGTAAAATATTGAATCTTTTTGTTTGTTTGTTTCATTAAAAATCATGTGTAAGCTGGTTAGTCACCTGGAGTTATTCAACAATCATTTGTGTCCTGGAAGCCTCGTCTGTTGTGTCCTCGGCCCTGTGATCTTCAGGCCTGCTGTTATTTGTGTTTGGGAAGAACATTGTTCCAAGTGATAGAGCGCTTGTCTGTCAATTTGTTATACTGAGATGATTTGGGGTTGCTGTGATGCTGAAAGCTGTGTCACTGGTGTGTCAAGTGTCATAATGATTACCCATGGTGGACAGGGTTTGGTGGAACTCACAGATTGAGTGAAACAGACTTGGAAGAAGGATTGGCACCACTTCGTAAACAAAAGGCCTTTGGAAACTCTATTAACATTAGAGAAATGACAGTAGTTATAGAACAGGATTCAGATCTTTTGTTCATAGGGTCAGCATCAATGGCAATTAACAACAACAACAATATGAATTGTAATTAATTCGATGACACCTAACAACAACAAAAACAACTGTTTTAATTATAATAATGAGTAAAAGAACTGTGAGTTTACAGTTTTAAGGAAATCTTTTTGTATTAGGTAGTAACATCCTTTCTTAATATTTTAGGCAGCACAAGTAAGCTACACTACTGATTTTTTTTTTATGTGTTGCTATTGTGCCATCAGAAAGTTACATATTTAATGGATCTGATTTTAGTAATCACTGAAGCATCTAATTACTGACCTATACTCCGACTCTGGTATTTGTATTCAAGTGTTTCATTCAGCTGAATTTTATTCTAATCTCTAATAAAAACCCCAAGAAAGGCTGCTTCAGTGCACACCTTAAAAAGCTATATGCACAACAGATAATTTGGGAGGCTGGACTTTATGATGAGGAATGTGGCTTCAGAATTGGAGGAAGAGACATCAACAACCTGTATTATTCAGATGACATAACCTTGCTTGTTGAAAATGAGGAGGGCCTGAAGGTCAAGGACTGCAGTCTTCAACATGAATTGAAGCTCAACATCAAGAAGACAAAGATTTTCACCACTGGGCAAATTGGCAGCACCATGATAGATGGAGAGGAGATTAAGATGGTTAAGGATTTCAGCTTGTTTGGTTTCACAACAACTCTCTTGGTACCAGAACTCAGGAAATCAAAAGATGAATTTCATTTGGAAAAATCTGCTGCCAAGGGACTTCTCCAGAGTGCTAAAGAGCAATGATGTCAGTCTGGAGACTAAAACGCACCTGATCCAGGGCATGGTCTTTGCAATTACTTGTTATGCATCAGAGAGCTGGACAATGACTAAGGATGACAAAAGAATAATTAATGCCTTTGAGTTGAAGGGCTGAAGAAGAGTGTTGAACATTCCATGGACTACCAAGAGAACAAACAGGTTTGTCCTGGAGAGGGTTAAAGCAAATTGCTCTTTAGAGGTGAGGATTTTAAAGGTCCATCTTACATACTTCAGGCATGTTGCCAAGAGGTACCAGTCCTTGGAGAAGGACATCATTCTTGGAAGAGTGGAGGGAGGGAAAGACTGTGGATAAGATCATTGACACAGTAAATGGGTAATGGGATTAAGTGTGTCAGAGACAGTGAGATTGTCTCAGGCTAGCGCAAGCTTCAGCTATTGTGCATAGGGTTGCTATGAGTTGCAGGTGACTCAACGGCACATAACAACAACAACTCTCCTCCAAATTTAGTGCTCTTACTTATAAAAAATTATAGTCACTGAAATGTGTATTACTTTTATTTTAAAAATATGCAGA